TGTCAAATTCTCCTCAGACATTTCAGCTGCCTCTTTCTGACCCTTTTTGTTTCTGTTTGGCTTAAAACTTCTTGATTGATGGCATGCTCCATTGATGGTATTCTCAGCATTCTTCTGTAGAACCACCTAAAATCTCCTGTTCATCTGTGAGGAAATTGTCCAGCATTCACTGCTATAAAGGAGGATTGATTTTACACATCAGTTGAGAAATCAGTTTTTTTTTGTGCGTGTTTTCAATAAAATTTTCGTTTCTTTATTTAGGTTTTGGAAGATCTTTAAATTTCACTATTCCAATATTCCTTCAGATTTCATTGTCATATTTTCAGTCATCTTTTAAAACACTTTCTGTAGTTGCTTTATTTTGATGTCTTCAATTTGTAATATGCATCTTACACTGACATTTTTACTAATGATGATATATTCTGTCTTACAATAGTTCTTTCATCTCACTTTCTTTTACTAGCTTGTCTTTCTGTGTCTGCCATTAATACGGTTTCATCTGCATATCATATGTTGCAAAAATCATAGCCACCAATAACAATTCCTGGTGGAGCTTCTAATTCTCTTAATTGGTAAAATGTGCAGCATTCAGTTGATATGCTTTTGCAGAAGTACAGCATGTTGCTCTTTATTGCAAAAGGGTTAAAATGCTGGCAGCATACAAAAAGAATTGAAGTAAATTTAAATGATGAACATGTACAATATATATACTATTTACATTATTCGGACTATTGTCCTCATCTTTGTGGCCATATTTATCACAACGTTTCGGCCCTTCAATATCTGTCTATATTTCTGAGATGAGGTATTATGTACACTATTTACATTATTCGGACTATTGTCCTCATCTTTGTCGCCATATTTATTACAACATCACTTTTTCTCTCCTGATTTGAGAACATCAACCAAGCATTTTTTTCATTCATCGACAACTGGGAGAGGACACCAAATTTTTGCATATCAAAATACTTTTATAGAAACTCCTGTGACGGACTTGTTTTTAATCTAAATATTCCGTCTTCAGCATGTCATGCAGAATATGTGCCCTTTTTTTTTGGTAAGTAATTTTCTTTTCCGTCGTAGGATACATGCAATGCACTGTCGCTTGGTTTGACGAGGCAAGTTGCCGTTTTTTTCGCTATATGTAGGTAATTATCATACCCAGGACTACCTAGATTGAGATAGATAGATATGAATAGACTGCAATAGATAGAGAGATCTTTTTGAGCTATTTAATGTTGAATTTTGTATGGGGCACACAGTGAGGATCTAACTAATTATTCAGTAATAATGGTTGACCAGACCAGACTTGTGAACCATTACTTCACACCAATTGTTTGTTAGTAGATTTCATGACATATCAATGCTTATTGGGTTATTTAATGTTGAATTTTGTATAGGGCACACAGTGATAATTGAACTCACTACTCACTTGTAATAGTGAAAACAGTATTCACTAAGCTTTACTCCACACTAAGATGCATAGACTGAGATAGATAGATAGATAGATAGATAGATATGAGCAAACTGAGATAGTTCAACTTAAGTGATTTTGTATGGAGTGCCCAGTGAGAATTGAACTCACTACTCACTTGTAATAGTGAAAACAAGCTTCACTAAGCCTTACTCCACACTAAAATGCATAGACTGAGATAGATAGATAGATAGATAGATAGATAGATAGATAGATAGATATGTGCAAACTGAGTTAGTTCAGTTTAATTGATTTTGTATGGGGCATCCAGTGAAGCTCATACTCCCTAATCAGTAGTGATAGTGAATCAGACAAAACTCATTAACCATTACCCTATACTTAGATATACTTTTCTTTCTTGGAAGGATGGTGTAACTGTTCTGTTGTGTTGTTCTACGACATGTGATCAGTTGTCAACTTCTGGCCTGTCTCTTAGTTTACTATACACTTTATATCTCTTCTACTTAACATATGCAAATAGGTAAAATCCTATTTGTCAATCTGACTACACCTCTCTGAACCAAAGAGGTTTAATGCCTTTCATTGTTTGTGAATTTCTACAACCTCTTTCTTCTCTCCTCCTTGAGGTTTATGTCCTGTTCTTTTTAATAGAGGTCTTGGTCTCATTTCATCTTCTTCCATGTCTGAGTAACTCCCATTATCATCCATAGGCTCGTTTTCTATTGCATTATTCTGCTCTGAAGAAACCATCCTTTCTTCTTCATCAAGATCTTCTTCCATCACAATGTCTTCCTCTTCATTTCTTCGTCTTTTAATTTTTTAGCCCTAGCCTGGGCTGCAAAACACCAAATCCAAGTCTCGACAAAATTCTGGCTCATCCAATTGACTTAAACATCCTATCAACAATCCCAAATTGTATTGCTTTGTTCTACGGCACATGATAAATAGTCGACTTATGCCTGTGTCTTACACTTTATATCTTTACTACTTAACAAATAGGTTCAATCCTATTTACCAATCTACTCAGTCAGTCAGTCAGTTATGAGCCATGCGTTTTTTTGATACATGACAGACGAGGCAGATTTTTTCCACCTGCAGTAGGTTACCATTTCTTTCTGCAGTAGGCCAGTTGCCATCCAAGGCTATAGAACCAGATCTGTCCTGCTGTTTACCCATAGCTGGGGGGGAGAAGAAGAGGATTCATACCTTTCCCAAGGGTATTAGCATGTAAGTGAATATGTTCAGTTATGTACCATGTGTGATATACACTTAGGCAATCATGTATCTTTCGATACATGACTGAAATGGCAGATTTTTTTTCTGTATTAGATTGCCATTTCTTTCTGCAGTAGGCCAGTTGCCATCCAGGGCTATAGAATCTGGTCTGTCCTGCTATTTACCCATAGCTCTGGGGAGAAGAAGAGGATTCAAACCTTTCCCAAGGGTATTAGCACGTAAGTGAATGTAATGGATTTGACTGGAAATTGAACTCAGTTCTCCAGCTCCTCAATCCAAGCCACTCCACCATGCCTCCTCCACCAATTTACTACAGTAACATAATCCAGGTTTTCTACCAATTTGACCATTTACAATCCTAATACTAATGGTAATGGTAAAATTAGCTGTTACCATACAGTAAGCATTAATAATGATAAGATTAGCTGTTTCAGTACAAGAAAAATTTGGCATTCATTGATTAAACAGTTAATGCTACTGTCAGTTGAAATTTATAAAATCTTTTTCTTAAAACAGCTTTGAAGGAATTCTCAAGTAAACTAAATATTATAACTATTTCAAATACTGATAAGGGTTTCCTTCCAATCTTTTTGGTTTTGATTGTGTGAAAAGTCAGCATCTTGAATATACCATTATTTTTTCTTCTAGTTAGATGTTCTACCTTTTTTTGTTGTCACTGTTAAGAAGTCTTTAACTGATGTGGATTCTGTTATTTAGTATAGCTCTTTTCTTTGTGATCTTGTAGCACCAGTCTCTATAGGGTCTGATGAAGGATTGTCTTCTTTAAGACCTAACAGATTCATTTACTTGAAGCCATTTTTAATCCTAAGCTAAGTGATAGTAGAGTTGTTTTTTGTTTGAAGTAGCTGCTTGTAAACAAGTTGCACATCATATTTTTAGCTAAATAACATGAATTTTATAAAATATTCCTTCCTGTAAGACAATTTTTTTCTTTTGATCACTTTAAAAATTCATTGTGCAGCAAAGTGTTAGAAAACTCCTCTTCTTTTGAAATTTTGCTGATATTAGCAATCAGATTGGAATTTAAGGAAGAATTTGTTTGTTTAATTATCGATAATTATTAGAGAACCATAAAAATGAGAGAATAACATTCTGTTTAGTGTTCATGCACGCCAGTTTTCAGCCCCCAATTTTGGTAATCTATCTTCAAAACATCCAACAGAGATCAACACAAGAAAAGAGGAAGATTTTCTTTTAAAATTTATTTTTTCAAACTATATTAAGTCTAAAGTATAAACTGCATTAAAATTTACCAGACTTCAAAAGAAAACTCATTTTCAGAAATGACATAGTGACAAAATAAGCTAACGTGCTTCTTTCTCTGTCAGGTTGTGTTTTTTTTTGTTTTTTGTTTTTTTTGTTTTTTGTTTTGTTTGTTTGTTTTTTTTTGTTTTTTTTTACTAAAATAATTTATCTTATTCTCATCATCATTTTTTCAATAAAATTTAATAAAAGAAATTCCTCTTAGAAATAAAAACTGTAAACACCCTGCTTAGAAAAAAATTGGACAAGTAAAACATTTAAAATGCATCCTATATTATTATTATTATTATTATATATAATAATATTATTATTATTATTATTATTTAAACACCCTGTGTTCGCTTTTCTTTTGTGTAAACAGAAAATATAAATTGAAAAAAATTTACACCATTTTTTTCTGTTTTTTACTCTATTCCTTATTTGAAATAAATAAAAAAAAATCCATTAAAAAGTTTCTTTTACAATAAAGTTTCAGTAGATGGGGGTTATTTTAAAAAAATAAAAAAAATAGTACACAAAGTTAGATGAGAATGACTTTTTTTTAATGTATTTTTCTTTTTCTTTTCTAGATGACATACACACAAAATATATTTAAAGTTAAATTTTCTTTTACTTTCTTTCTCTATCCACTTCATATAATTGATTATATTTATCAAGAAAGAAAAAAAGAGATTTACATAGGGGTGAGTTGTGGCTTCTTCAAAAAGATGGTTCATTTAGTATGAATAAGCACTAGAGTCATGGGATGAATTTGTGAGAATTAGATAGCAAACATCACAATGAGACATCAACTTATTTCTGCCTGCCATGAGTACTTACCCCCTTTCGATAACTTAGTCATGTTTGCATGCAAACGTTAATAAATATCCCTTTTGTACATACATTGATTTTATTTTTTTAATTTATTTATTATTAAATATTTCATCTTTATATTTTATTTCCCAGTATTCTTTTTAAAATAACATTGTAAGAGTAGCTTCCATCTTTCTTCAGTTCAAATAATACATTTTATCAAGTTAATAAAATACTTTTTAAAATTCTCTTCATGACAAGGGTTGTTTTTACTTTCTTTTTGTTTTGTTTTCCCTTTCCTTCTCATTTCTTCATTTTCATCTTCTTTACATATCTTTTTTTCCTTTCTTTTTCACTTCTTTTTCATTTTTGTTCATTTTTTTTTTTATCTCTCTCTTCTGTCTGTTTTCTCCAGCATTTTTCTTTCATTCAGTTTCTTTGTTTTTCTCTTTCTCTTTCTCTTTTCTTTTTGTTTCTTTTTTCATTTTCCTCCCTTTTTTTTTTCTTTGTCTATGTTTCAACCTTTTCTTACTAGTTAACTTTCTATCCTTTTTCATTTTGTTCTGAATTCTCTCCTTTACTTTTTTTTCTCTTGTTCTACAAAAAATAAATAAAATGACAAAACAAGTTCACTATTTAAAAATTATAGTGCCTGACTAAATTGTGTTGTGCCACAACTTTAAAAATTCCCTTTCAGAAAAGGAATTGAAATTACTTTAAAGCTAATCTTCATTTTAACAAAATAGTTTAAAAATTAGTTTAAAAATAGTTTAAAAATTAACTTATAATTGATAAAATTCTCTTTCAACAAAAATCACACTGTAAGATTGTAACTTACGTGACAAATTTTAATTGAGTTTTTCTTTTTAATTTTTCTCACATCTTGTTTAGAAAATATGTTTATCATCTATGAATTATTTTTCTGTCAATAAACCTGAAAAGATTGGTACACAGCAGGAAAGATGATAGCCTTTCATCAGAAGTTGAAAATTTATAGATATTGTTGAACAGTTCCTTAAAAATTTCAGCCCCTTTTTTCTTTTTGTTAACTTATTCTGTGTGTCATTCGATTTGTTTTGTTGTTGTTGAATTCCAAATTTCCCTGGGGTTGTTTTCTGTTATCTTCTTGAAATTTAAAGTTTGCATGTCACTGAAAATAAAAATGAAATTAAAAAAAACATTACTCATCAGTTTTCCTTACAACCAAAATTTTTAATAAACTTTCCTACAGCAAAAGAAAATTAAGGCCACATGTCGTTTTCTGAGACAGTTCCTGGTGAAAAAAGAAATAAATTAAAAGAAAAGAGAAAATAAGAGAAAAAAAAATCTTACTATTTATGATACACATTTGAATCTTACAAAGACATTCAAAACTAAATTTTAAAGCATAAATGATGAAAGCAACTTCAGAAATACACTTTTTACATACCATATTTATTCATAGACAATGCAATCTCACATATAATGAAAGTTAAAAAAAGCATGAATAGATTTGATTGCATATGTGGCTTATATAATATATTGCATTACATTTAATGTTATCTATCTATCTATCTATCTATCTCAGGCTTTTCATATCTATATATATGGCTTTTTATATCTATCTAGCTGTGGCTTTTCTTATCTATCTATCGAGCTATCTATCTTCTTAACTATCTGTCTCAAACTTATCATATGCATGTATATATGTATGTATGTATCTATCTACCTACCTATCTATCTTGGGTTTTTCCTATCTATTTATCTGTCTCAAGCTTTTTATATGTATGTATCTACCTATCTATCTCAGGTTTTTATATCTATCTGTAACTTTTCATATGTATCTATTTATCTATATATCTATCTCAAGCTTTTCATATCTGTCTGTCTATCTAAAGCTTTTCATAATTATCTATCTGCTTATCTGTTTGAAGCTTTTCATATCTAACTTCTTAGTGATCTGTCTCAAGATTTTCATATCTATCTATTTATCTATCTGAGTTTTCATATCTATCTATCTTAGGATTTTAATATGTATGTACCTATCTATCTAAGTCTTTTTATATTGATCTAGGGTTTATCTATCTCAAGTTTTTCATATCTATCTATCTATCTATCTATCTATCTATCTATCTATCTATCTATCTATCTATCTAAGGCTTTTTATAACTATCTGCTTATCTATCTGAAGCTTTTCATATCTATCTCTGGGGCTTTTCTTTATATATCTATCTAAGGCTTTTCATATATCTATCTATCTATCTATCTATCTATCTATCTATCTTTTCTATCTGTCTCAAGCTTTTCATATCTGTCTATCCATCTGTTTATCTATCTCAGGTTTTTCATATCTATCTACCTATCTGTCTAGCTAGCTAGCTATCTAAAGCTTTTTATAACTATCTGCTTATCAATCTGAAGTTTTTCATATCTATCTCTGGGGCTTCCTTATCTATGTGTATAGCTATCTAAGGCTTTTCATATCTCTCTCTATCTGTCTAAAGATTTTCATATCTATCTATCTATCTATCTATCTATATATATATATATATATATATATATATATATATATATATATTTCTATCTGTTTCAAGCCTTTCCTATCTATCTATTCATCTGTCTATTTATCTCAGGTTTTTCATCTTTATCTATCTACTTAGCTAGCTATCAATCTGAAGCTTTTCATATCTGTCTCTGGGACTTTCCTGATCTAAGTGTATATCTATCTAAGGCTTTTCATATCTATCTGTCTGAAGATTTTCATATCTATCTATCTATCTATCTATCTATCTATCTATCTATCTATCTATCTATCTATCTATCTATCTATCTCAAACCTTTCATATCTATTTATCTTCTTTTCTGTCTTGAACTTTTCATATCTATCTATCTGTCTATCTATCTAGGGCTATCTCAAGTTTTTTAATCAAGTTATTAATCACACTGGAATAGCAATTCAAACATGTGTACCCACTAAAAATAACATGTATAATAATGAAACATATATATGTTTGTATGTGTGCATATATGCATCCCCCTGCTCCCGTAAAAGAAGTGGTGCCATCTTGTGTACATTTCTTTAAAAAAAAACCCTAGATATTTAATAACATTTTCCTATTTTCAGAGCAAATGATTAAATGATTCTTCTGAATATTAGGTTGTCAAAATGAAAAGATTTCTATTTTTTAGAACTTAATTTTTTCATTAAAATATTGCCTTTTTTCTTTTTGAAATTACACACTTATTGAATATCTGTGAGTGAATCTCCTAAGTAAACAAGGTCATAAAACTATGCAAAAGATAAAATTGTGAAGAAGTAAAAAAGAAAATTTTCTTTAAATGGGCTGAAACCTTTTAAAATTAAAGTCATTCTTTTCTTAGGAACTCTCCAGTCAAATAAGATGAAATAAATGCATTGAAAAGTAATGATTTTTCCTTCTCATCAGTATTATATTGAAATTGCTCTCACAATTAATGCATTACTAGAATATAACAAAAGAGAAAATATATGTAAAGCACCAAGAAGCATAAAATTGTTACATACAGATTGCATATGTAAAATCCAGAATTTTCATTTTAACATTGAAAAAAAGAAAGAAACCAGCTGCTATTTTAAGGCAAATTTCAAAAATATTTTTCTTTGATTTTTCATAACATTTTTGTATTTTTATTATTTCCTTTTGTGATCAAAAATAAATTCATATTGCCTATTTTGTTGTGAGAAAGGTTAAAAGTTACCTATTGTTTTCAAATCTTCTATATTCTTCCTTTTGACTTACAAGATTTTTTTTTAAGATTTTTTTTTTTTTTTTTACTTGTAATGTTTCTTTTGGCCAGCTTATTTTTAACAAAGTTATTTCTGTTTATTGATTTTTAGGGGTTTTGATTTAAAATTAAAAAGAAAGAAAATGAATGTAGACAAGAACTTCATATGTAGAGGCAAAAATAAAGGGAGATAATAGTCCAGTCCACCTAAAAAAAATTAATCTTAATCAAAGAAAATGAAGTTATCTTTATTTCTAGAGAAAACTTGTCAGAACAATTGTATTAAAAACATAAGATTTCAACAAACCTCTCATTTCTAAAACAAACAGTTAAAAATATCTAGTAGCATTTGTCACAGATAAATTTGTTAACTTTACAAATACAAGAGTTAGAACAGACTTAAAATAGAGTATTGTTGCCATATCTGAGCTCAACCCACACTGTCAACATTTTACAGCCTTGATAGAGTTCAAAAACAATAATGTGGTCTTGAAGGGGAATATTTATTTTCCAATCTATAGCCTCTTTTTCACAGACACAATAAATGTCCCTTAAGGAACTATGTTCCTGATCAAACCAAATTCATAAATAATTCCATTGGTCACGCAATACTACATGCCTACTAGACGACTTGTGTTACACCTTCCTGATCATAGCTCCAAGAAGATAATTAGAGAACTAGAAAGGATTATTATAAAAATAATATGTCTATATTATTCAATGAAACATGCTTGAATGAAGATATGTTGCCTAAATATATATACATATATATCAGGTCATCCCATAAGTTCTGTCCAAATTTTGAATAAAGAAAACGTGACCAAATGTTACATTTAATTAAAGATTCAATCAACAATGTATTTTCCCTGATTATCTATGACTTCCTTCCATCTATTAACAAGCTTACTAATTCCATTACTGTAAAATTCTTTTGGCTTTGATTCGAAGAACTCACAAATGTCAGTTTTAACCTCTTCCTGTGTTACAAAAGCTGTTTCTTCCAAATGATTCTGTAAGCTACGTAACAAATGGTAGTCTGAAGGAGCAAGATCGGGAGAATAAGCTGGATGAGGAATTTTCTCCCAACCAAGTTCTTCGATCTTTTGTGACGTGATTCTTGCTGTGTGGGATCGCACATTGTCCTGATGAAAATCACCCCTTTTCGATTCACTAGAGCAGGACTTTTTTCCTCAAAGCTTGGTTCAAATGCTCTAATTGCTGACAGTAAATTTGAGCATTAATTGTTTCATTAGGTGGTAAGAATTCAAAGTGGATTATTCCTTGGCGACCCCACCAGATTGAAAGAAGAATCTTTTGCCGACAAAGTTCCCTTCTCAGCTGTGGCTGGGGTCCTTCCCCTTTACCAAGCCACTGTCTACGATGCTTAACATTTCCATAAAAGATCCATTTTTCGTCGCCAGTCACAAGTCTATCCAAAAAAGGTGAAACAAGTTGGTGAGAATGGAGAGAAGAGCAGATGTCAACTTGGGATTTGAGGTTGTTTTCAGACAATTCATGAAGCACCCATTTTCCAAGTTTAGGAACTTTTCCAAGTTGTTGAAGATGACGGTGAACAGTTTTATGGTTTGAACTGAGAACCACTGCCAATTCCTCAACTGATAAAGCAGGATTTTCTTCAAGGGCTGCTTCAAGAAGCTTTTCATCAAACTCAACTGGCGTCCAGTTCGATCTCCACCTCTGAATTTTGCAAATCATCTTCTGCAAGTTCTTGCATTCACACATTCCTCTCCATAACCTGAGTGAATGTTTCTAGCCACTTCGGCTGCTGAGTTTCCTTTCTTCAATTCATAAAGCATTATGTGCCTCAAATGATTCTTGGGTACTTCCATGTTAGCAGGGTTTTAATCAAGCAAAATTTAATTTTATTGTTCTCTGAAATAAAATTTGATCAGTTTAAATGCATCTAAACATAAAAATAATGTTCAGCTCCATTAGACATTATAAAATACTCTTTAAATTTCGTTCATTTTAACAAAAGTTAAAATTCAGACAGAACTTATGGGATGACCTGATATATATATATATATATATATATATATATATATATATATATATATATATATATTAATAATCAAACAAATTCTTTTTTAGTTCATATGGGGAATAGGCCATTTCAGCAGATTAAATTTTTGTGAATCAGTTCTAATATTTTTATATTACTAGGATCCACTTGGATTATATACCAACAGATTTTTACCTTACTATATATATATATATATATATATATATATATATATATATATATATAAGTTGATACTAATAGTTTCATGCACAGATCCAAACAAACTGAGGTAGATATGCTTATTTAGTAAACTTAATCTGGTACAAAGTTGCAATTTTAGGGCACCCAGTGAGAATCAAAGTCATTAAACAGCAATTCTCATTTGCTGGACTAGATTGCCGACCATTACTCAGTGACAAGGTTTTTGATTGCTTGCTTGGTTGATTGATTTTACACATGTCAACTCTTGTTGGGTCATTTAATCTCAAATTTTGTATGGGACACCCAGTGAGAATCAAACTCATCAACTTAGTAGTAATAGTCAACCAGAATCACCTTGCTAAGCATTAAACCCACACTGTCATATCTATATAGTTAGGTCAGTTGATTTTATGACATGTCAACCCAATGTTTAGTTATTTAATGTCAGATTTTGTATGGGGCACCTTATCAGAATCAAAGTTATGAATCAGCAGTAATGGTCAATCAGACTAGCCTTGCTCACCTTTACCCATGTTGAGGTGCCTATATAGTTAGGTCAGTTGATTTTATGACATGTCAACCCATGTTTGGTTATCTGATGTCAAATTTTGTATGGGTACCCAGTGAGGATCAAAGTTATAAATCAGCGATAATGTTTAACCTGACTAGCTTTGCTAACCATTACCCATGCTGAAGTGCCTATATAGTTAGGTTAGTTGATTTTATGACATGTAAACCCATGTTTTGTTATTCAATGTCAAATTTTGTAAGGGGCACCCAGTGAGGATCAAACTTACTACACAGATTGGCCTTGTTAACCATTACCCATCATTGAGCCATTCTCCAATGGAAGGCATCCAGATACATTTGACTAGAAAGAGATAATCAGCAGCAAACAAATTATTATTACTTTCTGTCTTTTTATTCCAATATGCAGAGGGACAATCCAATTGTTTTGTTTGGCATAACAATAAAAAAAAACTGAAAACAGAAAAAAGGTTTTTATTTTCATTCATCAAATTTTTTTTTCCTGCTGATAGGATCATTCTTTACGGTGATTTAAACTCATAAAATAAAATAATTACACATGTCCATCTCAAGTGGTAACTTTTTTTTGATTCTTAAAAAATGGTTAAGTTTGTCTAGATTTTCGAAAGATTTATCATATCTTTAACCATTGACGAGCATTCAATTGGAAATCCTTAGACAGAACTAACAATGGCCTCAAAGCTTACATCGCATTGCAGGAAATTTTTATTAAAATTCTTCAATTCCTTACAATGTTGGATCATGTGAAGGCAAAGAATTGAAAGCCAGGGCCATGATCAGGTATTGATCTGAGTAGTGATCAATCATTAAAATGATTCGGATATTTATCCAACTTCCACTCATCACTGTGTTGCTGTCAGCATAATTGTTCTGTTATACACATTTTCACCATTTGGATTGTATTCACAATGTCTTCATTCACACAAGATAGGTTTTCTTTGCTTGTTGAAATCTTATCAACAGTTTTTGATTTAGTTATTTTTTTTTACATCTATTTTTATTTAAATCTTTCATAGTTTTATAACTTTTATGATTTTCCATCATTTTTACTTTATTTAGAATTTCTGCTAACATACAAAGTTACTGAGTATATAAGACAACCCCGAAATTTTCAAGTTAAAATGTAGGCTTCAGGCTATATTCACTGTACAAGTCAATCCCCACCAATTGTATTTTAAAATGTACTGTATTGAATTTATTAAATAAATTCAGTAATCATATACTTTCTTTTCACTCAAATTCTAATGAAAAAATGGTGGGGAGATATTGTCAATTAACTACCACAATCTACAACACCTCATGATTTTCTTTGTGTTGGTAGTTAAATAAGACTTGACTATATCCCACATTTGTTAGGGCACCTTGAGGCGGTGTAATGG